ACACTTGCGTTCTAATTATAAGCTACAGTGTAGGCGGAATTCTGCTCAGTAGCACATAAATTACTTTCACACGGTATCCTCTTTGATCACTCCTTTCCCCACAAAGATGAGAGTTAATACTTCTTCCTTGTATGTGGATGGGGGACGTCTGGCCTGTGGGTCTTATGTTGTTGTTGTTGTTAAGTGCTGTCGAGTTGATTCTGACCTATAGGGACCTGTATAGGTTTCTGAGAAGCAGCTGGTGAGCTTGACCTCCCCAACTTTGCGACTGTGTAGTCCAGCTCATTAACCCACAGCGCCACACCAGGACTCTGGGCTATGAAATCATTTGGTCTGGCTCTGTCAAGGCAACTGTAGTTTCAGGCGTCACATTAAGGCTGAGTTAATTAAATGATTGATCAAATATAGCAGGGTAAGTTTTAAGTTGGTAATTTTGTATGGCTCGCGAACGATGTTATAAATTTTGGCAGAAAAAAGGTTTCCCATCTCTGCTATTTAGTCCTCATCCTTACATGGAGTGCTGGTGGTGCTATGGAATAAGCACTAGACTGCTAACCATAATGTCAACAGTTCAAACCCACCAGCTGCTCCACTGGGGAAAGATGAGGCTCTGTGCTCCAATAAAGATTTGCAGCCTCAGAAACCCTATACAAGGTCACCATGTGTCGGGATAGCACATAACAACAACATCCTTACAGATGCACCTCCATCTGCCCTGGCCATGTTGGACTGTGATTCATTTATATGTCTTTTTCTGCTATGAAAGTCAGCCATTCGAGGAAAATGTGCTCTGTTAGTAGCTATCTTTGCAGCACCCATGTGAGGTGCCTAGTACCAGTAGGTACTCCATAGGTCCTTAGCCATTCCATCTGACCCATCTCTCCTGATTTAATTCTGGTTTTCACCTCTACAATCTCATTGACTCAAAACAATTAATTCAGAATCTCTAGGGTGGGACCCAGTCATTAGCACATTTCAAGGCTTCCCAAGGATTCCTGGTGTGGCATTGTAGGCTCAGCACTGGACTGTGAACCCCAAGGTTGTCAGTTCAAACCCACCTGCAGCTCCTTGTAAACCCTATATGGGGTTGCTATGAGTTGGAACCAACTCTATGGCACTTAATAACAATAACAAGTGGTTCCAATGTGCGATAAGGTTTCAAGTAACTAACTGTTGTTGTTGTACAGCGCTGTTGAGTTAGTTCCAAACCATAGCGACCCTGTGTAGGGTTTCTGAGGAGTGACTGTGTTGGCAGAGTGGAAAAGGTACCCCTATGATAAGAACCTATCTTCAGATTTCTAACCTAACGCTCTATACTCAAAGAGAATCTGTCTAATTGGGGTTTCGTTCCCACCTTGCATTCCAGCACACTATCTAGCACATGTTGGAGGAAGACTCCAGATATCCTTGTCTCATTCTGGGGTGATTACATCTATAAGATGGCAGCCTGTACTTCCTGGAAAGATACTCAATATCCATAGTATGTAGATAGCACACAGACAAATCATTTTATTAGAGAACATTTCATGTAACCAGAGACCCAAGTCTGTGCTTGGCCCAAGAGGTGGATGTCACCTTGGCTCTGAGCAGCTGTAGGAGACCCGGAGCTAAGAAAAGTGTTGCATTCAACAGGGAATGCATGAACTCCTGTGTGTCTGTGCATATGTGTGTGTGTACACGTGTGTGTGTGTGTATGTTTGTGCATGAGCATGCTGAGGAAGTGAAGGGGAGAGAACGTGTGGTGATGTCTCTTTCAGAGGCCAAGAGACATACCAGGCTGGCAGGATTACTTTCTGGGTTTGAGGATCAGCTATTTGAGTGAAGTTTGCCCAGAGACGAGCTTTGCACATCTTTCAAGCTGTTCTACTTCATGGATCACCTCGCAATGACCTCTTAGCATTGACTGTACAAGACAGAAAGAAAACCCTTGGCTGTCAGGGGAGGAGAGGAATTTCTAAGGCTCATGGGGATTAAAAACCTCTCTGTTGTTGCAGGAGGGAAAACTGATGCCTTCTGTCAGTTTTTACTCAAGTGTTTCCTTTTGAGCACCAACCTCACTGACTTTGATGGGAGAAAAAATTAATTCTAGAGCCCCCACTTGAAATTTCCTGACTCTGCCTGTCTGTTGTTGATCCACCCACACAAAGGAGAGACTTTGCGGAACCTTTTCAGCTTTCAAGTCAGCAGTTTGCATTACACATTCTTCTAGGGAGTTTTTTAAAAGAGCTCTGAGGTTTTTCAATCATACTTTTCTTCCACAGATATTTGCCCATTTTGATGCTGAGCTGCTTTCTTTGTATGGAAAAAATAAATTGCTCCCTCAGTCAGCAGAACCTTGATTTTCTTAGTGAACCGGGGCTGATAACTTTGTATTACCTTCTTAAATATATAAAAAAAGGATCAGTTATGACAATTCTTCATGTAATTCCTAAGGTGTCATATCTTATTTTTATACAGAATCTGCATTTTGGAGGGGAATATAAAATGCTTCCCGGACTTTGATTCACTCTCTGAAAGGATAAAAGCGTTACAAGATATCCATGTCACTCTGATAATAGTATCTGCATTTTGCAGGTGAGACGGTGAAAAGACAGGGAAGTGAAGTGACTTGTTCCAGATCACCCAGTGAATCAGCCACAGAGCAATGACAGAGATAGCTCAATGTCTGGATAACCTCTCAATCTTTTGGAATTCAGTTAGACTGCCTTTTCCCTTCAGAGCCAGATTCATATGTATTTATGTATATAAGACCCATGTATTCAGTGCTTTCACCTACTTTATCTCTTTTACAAGTATTTCAAGTTGTAAAGAGATATTAAGAATCCCAAAGACTTTCCCTCTCCTCCTACTTGCGTCTCAATATACACACAGCATTCCACTGCATGGATTCCCTGGGTGATACCTGTTATTAACCACCCAGAGGTGCCTTCTGAGAAATCACCTATTGAAAACACTATGGAACACAACTCTGCTTTGACACACATTGGGTCGCCATGCAATGGAATCAACTTGATGATAACTGGTTATTCATGTGCGTGTGTGGTAGAAAGATGAGAGAGAAAGACTGTATTGGAGTGTCAAGGGAACTTAGAGAAGTTTCTCCTGGAGTGGACATTTGATTTGTCAGTCTTTTCCTGCCTTGTAGTAATAACCATAATACATGAATCTCTCTAAGAATCCTTTCTATATTTGGGGCTCAAGGGGTCAAAACTGAAATGTGAGTCATCTTTATCATCAATTGTTGTTGTTATGTGCTGTGGAATCGGTTCCGACTCATAGCGACCCTGTACAGGGTTTCCCAGGCTGTAAAATCTTTGTGGGAGCAGAAAGCCTCATCTTTCTCCCTCGGAATAGCTGGTAGATTTGAACTGATGACTGTGAGATTAGCAGCCCGATTCATAACCAGAGCTCCTCAAGCTTAATTATGAGAAAAACCATTCTGAATTAAAAGGATGCTTGTCTTCTGCTAGAGATGAACTGGAGCAGAAGTGCCAGCTTGGGCGTGGATGTTTAAACCTCTGGCTTTCCTGAACCTGGTCATTCATTCCCCAAATGTCTTCACACCTCACAGACACTGGAATTACCAGAGGCCACCGAGCCGAATCCAGAGCACTCCAGAGAGAAGGAGACTGAGGGGTCTTTTCTATTACCTGTCTGCTTTGTTTCCCTGTGTCACTTCCTATGGTGTATGGGATAACAGGTTTTCAAAACTGTTATCACCAATTCAGACACTAGACAGCACAGATGCTATGTTATCAGAAACCAGGCAGATAGAATCACTTTATTCTCCTGATGTAGAAGGTCTGTCAGTTTGTTGCTGCTCATTACTAACTAGCTTTGTTTAATAATCACACCAGGGAGTCCAGTGAGATTTACAGATATCTAAATTTACATTGATTCCACCTCAAAAAGTCTTCTTGGAACACACATCAGAAATCCTTTAGAACTACCTAAAGATAGAATAAATCCAGTTTAATGTAATTCATGCAAATCACTTCTCACAGGGAATTCTTTGTAGGAAAAGTCATTAGTTACTGAAAAAGCTGACAGATGTCTAGGTGATTCCTACTCACAGTGACCCATAGACTAGAGTAGGACTGCTCCCTGGGTTTTCCAAGGCTGTAAATCTTTAGAGAAGCAGACTGTCTCATCTTTCTTGCATGTTTCTAAATCGCTGACCTCTCAGTCAGTAGTCCAATGCTTAATCCACAGCACCACAAGGTCACCTCGATATTAACAAGCAAAAATATATATAACAGGAAGGTGTGATGCTGTGTTACCAATAGCTTTTGAGGTCAGTGAAATGCAATGATTAAAAAGCTCTAACCGTGAAATGAGCTAGATCTAGATTCAAATCCTGCCTATCACTGTGTGGCAGAAGTTAAGTTAAATACTTAACTTCTCTGCACAGGTTTCTCCTTCCATTAAGCAATAGAAGGAAGAATGTAAGGATTAGATTCAATAATGATCAGGATTTCTCAAATTCTATAGTGGCCACAAAAGGTGGACATGCCTCTCTGATGATAACATCTGTATTTTAAAGGTGAGGATGCAGAAAAGCTCACAGCTTGTTTCAGATCCACCAGTACACCAGTCACAGAGCCACAAAGGAGGCTCTGGGAATCTTGCTAAAAAGCAGTCTGATTCATTAGGTCTACAGTGAGGCTTGAGATTCTAAATTCCTATGCTGAGAGTCCATGGATTAACCTTTAAAATCTCGAAACCAAAAACCGAAATGGCTATGCAGTAGTCCTGCAAACCAATTAAGAGAAGCAATCTGAGTAAGGATTTTGTATAATAACCAAGGAGAGCACTGCACAAACTCTTCTCACCAGGTGTGGAGTAGATGAGACATTTGGGAAAGGTTGTACTCTGGTCGTTCACAAGCCTCTGCATGAGGAGTAGCTAGACTAATCTCCATTCTTCTGCCCTGAGAATCAGCCAGGGACCATCAGAATGCACATGACAGATGGTAAGTTCAGCTGCCCTGAACTCCTTACCTGTCATAGTCTTGACAGATCTCCCCCACAGCCACCAAGGCCTTCAGGTACTCGTTGGGTTGATAAGGGTGGATGTAGTGCAGGGAACAGCTGTTCCTGGGGTCCCCGTTGGAGGCAGTGAAATCTATAGCTACCTGGAAGAGGAAAAGAGGAGAATGGGTGGATTTCAAGTGAATTCATCTCCTAGGAATTGTGATCAGCCACAGTAGAGACATGGTTTCAGATGGAAAAAAAAGCATCATGCTACATATCCTGCCCAGGAGGAAAGAGAAGAAATTAATCAGCTAAGAAAACCCCAGTTACTAAGTTGGATAAGAACATTTCTCCCTCTCCACTGCCTTCTCCCTTTCATGCTTCCTCTTCCCTGTGTCTCCAGCAGAATTTGAGATTGAAATTTAGGTCAGAAATCCCAGCCACTATTTATTCATTTCACCAGGCAGTGAGAATAACAAAATATCCATCCCCACTACCTCTCAAATTCACATTTCACCACTAAGAAAAGATTTCTGTGCTGTCTGGTCTTAGGTAAAATTCCTTCACGTTTAATTCTGTGTGAAAGACTTGGCTTATATAAACAAAGACATGTTATATTTTTTCAGTCGCCAGATGAAGAGAGATGTGTGGATCTTGCTAAAAGAAATGTCCTGCAAGAAGCAGCTTCATCCCATGTAAACTATCACATAATTCACAATAAAACATTAAAGAAAAAACAACCGTATAAGGAAGTTCAGCCCTGACATATGGGTTGTCTATTAGTCAATTGACAACTAATGGCATGGTTTTTTCCATCTTTGGACAGATATGTTTATTACAATGTGTTGTTGTTTTTTTTTTTTTTTTTTTAAAAAAAAGCAGAACTCTCCAAGTCATGTGAAGATTAAACGAGATTATGCAGTTGAGTACTTAAAACATTGACGGCCATGTAGCAAGCTCTCCAATCACATTATCACTGTCCACTCATGTGTTGGGATATAGGCAAAGGATAAAAGCAGAGAAAAAGATACCTGCAGCCTAAGAACAGTGGTCTTGGCTGGATTCCTGGCTGATTTCATAAGAAAGCTTAGATGAACTTGAGTGTCTTTTCCCACTTGGGCCACCTGGGTTCTCAGAGTCTGAAGCGTGTCTGCACTATATTCTATGATCCTGAGCAATCACCGATTCCCTAGAGTATGTGCCTATGGGCCCTGGACCTTACCCCTTATCTGTCTTTAGCCCCGTGGACCAGCACACGCCAGACAGCTTTCCCACTCAGGGGAGTATCACTGAATCCTCCTGTGTGAGCTGTAAGCGTGGCTGCATTGCCAGGTCAGCCTTTTTCTACTTAGCCAGCTCTCAAGTCTCACTGGTGATTCTCGTGAGGCCAGCAATGAATGTGGTTTAAATGGAAAGTGTCATTTGTGCATGTGGCATCAATAAAGATGTTATTAATACAGCTCCAGGAAGACAGCTGCTTCCAACCTGCTGCGGAAGCCACAGCCACACGCAGAACCTGATTGGCTGGTTGTCCCACAATTTCACAAGGAGGCACTAAAGTCTTCAGGTCTAACCCATATCTTATGCTCCCGGCTGTCTATCCTGTGGCCAAACAGCTCCAGAAGACGGAGGACTGTCATCAGGCATAACTAATGGCATGTTTTTATTCATCTTTGGACAGATATGTTTATTACAATGTGTTTTTTAATTAAAAAAAAAAGAAGCAGCAACTTCATGTAAAGCATTCAACTTTTTGGTCCCCATGCATGTAAGATCTCTTACCTCTGACTAAGAATATGACTGACCACTTAAGTCATTGTTAGTGAGAAATGGAGAAGGAACCTGCATCTTAACACTTGTTGTTATGATGTGCCATTGAGTCTATTTTAACTCGAGAGCAACGTGACAAAGTAGAACTGCCCCTTAGGGTTTCGTAAACTGTAATCTTTAAGGAAGCAGATTTCCAGGTCTTTCTCCTGCAGAACTGCTGGGTGGATTCAGACTGCTGACCTTTCTATTTGTAGCCAACTGCTTAACTGTGTGTTCCACCAGGCTCCTTAGTTCATTACTCAGTCTTCATTCTTCACCTTCTTATATATTTTTCTTACTCTCAACATCACATCCATCTAAATAAAAGTTGACTCACCAAACAAAACACTTCTTAAGAATAACAGCAACAACAATAAAATGCTTAAGCCTGGTGGCACTGTAGCTGCTAACCACAAAGTTGGCAGTTCAAGCCCACCAGCTGCTCCTTGAGAGACAGATAAGTTTTTCTGCTCTCAGAAAGATTTAGAGCCTCAGAAACCCTATACAGGGTTGCTATAAGTTGGAATCAGCTTGATGGCAGTGTGTGGGTGGGAAGGTATTACAAGGAGTAAGAACATTTCTTCTGATTTCCAACATAATTTCCATTTAAATAAAAGGTCCACTCTGGCAAACATTAAAAAAACAAAAAACAAAAAGAAAAGCTTTAGCTTGGGGGTAGGTATTAAAATAAGGAGTAATAGAAGAAGGAAATGTTCATGCTTCGTGACCATTTATTTTGGTTTCAGCAGAATCCATTCACTGATGTACTAATAATAGAAAAGCTTTCTTTCCCCATATGAGCTTGTGGATAGGAAATGTTATTTGTGTTATATTTGACTAAGTTGCATTAAATTAGATTACTGGGATGTCCCACTTGTTGTTGTTATGTGCCGTGGAGTCGGTTCTGACTCATAGTGACCCTGTACAGGGTTTCTGAGGCTGTAAATCTTTACGGGAGCAGAACACCTCAT